AATCTGTTTAGCTCTAAAAGGAACAAGACCACCAGTCATTTACACGGTTATGTGCTAGCATACGATGCTAACGAGGGAACTAGAACCCGGTTCTAACAAGTTGTGCAGAAAAGTGTTAGTTTTGGTTCTTTAGCTGGAAGCCTGAGAATAAACCAGAGCAGATCCAGAGTACAAATCTGACATTTATCTTCTGGGCTGGTTCTGAAAGACTGGACCCAACCGAGTGTTATTAGCCAGTTAGCTCTGACAGGAACAGGCCAGGTCCTAATTCATGCAGGTTTAGGTGGAATGTGATAAGAAAGTGTGGATGTTGAGCTTGAAGACGAGTTTCTACTGTAACAGAGAGAGAAAAGAGAATCTGTTTAGCTCTAAAAGGAACAAGACCAGTCACCAGTCATTTACACGGATTATGTGCTAGCATACGATGCTAACGGGGAAACTAGAGCCTGGTTCTAAATAGTTGTGCAGAAAAGTGTTAGCCAGGTTCTTTAGTTGGAAGCCTGAGAATAAACCAAGGCAGATCAATTTTTATAAATTCATATGATGTGATTTTCTGGAATTTTCTTTGGGATTCTGTCTCTCACTGTTAGAATGTACATATGATTAAAGTTATAGATCGTTTTCATTCTTTGTAAGTGGGCAAACCTGCAAAATCAGCAAGGGCTCAAATACTTATTTCCCCCACTGTATATATATATTTATAACTAATTATAGCCCGGTTCTAACCCCCCCCTCCCCCGTAATAACCAGAAGACCTACAGAGACTTCCGGCTGCAGGGCGTCCTGGAGGCGGCGCTCAAAAGCAAAACCTACGAAACGGTGTATAACCGGCTGGCGGTGGAGGAGGCCACGGCCGCCGTGCGGGGGGGCGCCGGCCTGCAGGGCGCCAGCCTGAGGGACAGCGACCAGGAGGACTGAGCGCGCAGAGACACGCAACAACCCCACTGAGCGCGCAGAGACACGCAACAACCCCACTGAGCGCGCAGAGACACGCAACAACCCCACTGAGCGCGCAGAGACACGCAACAACCCGCCTGTCATTACCTGAGCTGAGCTGGAGGTTTGGACACCAGGGGACGTTTTATTCTGTTTCCCAAAGCTGGTCTTTCACACCAAGCTGGAATAAAAGGGGAAAAAATGGTTATATAAAAAGAAAATACGGGAAATTTAGCTTATTTTCAAAACTTGTATTATTTTCGTGTTATTTCTTGATGCAAAATCCAGTAGAATCGGGTTTGTTTCAGGTAGTTTTTTCATGAGAATGTGTTGAAAAGTGCTCGAGGACCCAATAGGAGGTGTAGGAGACCCACACAGACACACACAGATACACACAACAACCAGGACGACTGAGGACACAGAGACACGCAACCTCCCGCCTGTCATTACCTGATCAGCCTCCGTTCCAGACATGAGGGGTCGTTTTATTCTGTTTCCCAAAGCTGGTCGTATGGAATAAAAAGGAATAATGATGGTTATTTAAAAAGAAAATACTGGAAATTTAGCATTTTTTCTAAATTTTTATTATTTTCGGGTTATTTCTTGATGCAAAATCCTGTAGAATCGGGTTTGTTTCAGGTAGTTTTTTCATGAGAATGTTTTGAAAAAGTGCTCACACAGACTCACGCAGACCAAAACAGACCCACACAAACCTGACTATCATTCGGTAGCTAAACCTGACTAGCATTCGCTAGCTAAACCTGACTATCATTCGCTAGCTAAAGCTGACTAGTTTTCGCTAGTTACACCTGACTAACATTCACTAGCTAAACCTCACTAGCATTCACTAGGTAAACCTGACTAGCATTCGGTAGCTAAACCTGACTAGCATCCGCTAGCTAAACCTGACTATCATTCACTAGTTAAACCTGACTATCATTTGGTAGCTAAACCTGACTAGCATCCGCTAGCTAAACCTGACTATCATTCGCTAGCTAAACCTGACTAGCTTCCGCTAGCTAAACCTGACTAGCTTTCGCTAGCTAAACCTGACTATATTTCGCTAGCTAAACCTGACTATCTTTCGCTAGCTAAACCTTACTGGCTTTAGCTAGCCAAACCTGACTATCATTCGCTAGCTAAACCTGACTAGCTTTCGCTAGCTAAACCTGACTATCATTCGCTAGCTAAACCTGACAAGCATTAGCGGCTAAGCTAATCGCTAAGTCTCCTGTCATTTTTCATAGATTTTTAATGGACAACAGTTCTAAAATACAGATGGAAGAATTTAGCTCTTTGACTCGACTAAAAAGCTGATGAATTACACCTAATTTATGATTCAGAGTATTTTTTTATTCTTTGTTTTATTTTTCCCAAATCATCATACAGCCTGAAGTGACCAAAATCTGATTTTTTCCCTCTTTTTTTGTTTTTTTGTCTATAAAAAACGTTGTTTTTTTGTGTTCGTTCAATTTCCAAAATATTCCTAGTGGAAATCTAATAAATTTCACCTAAACTCTGAGTCACTATGAATTTATCTTTTATTCCCCAAAAAAGAGGATAGTAGTGTGTGTTGCTATGACAACTGTGCATTGTTGCTCATGAGTAAAAGAGAGTTTAATAATAAAGTTGAACTATTTAGATTTGGATTCTGTGGTGTAGAAATAGAGGACGTTTCCAGAGTGGCTTTAGGAGAAAGTTAAAGATAATTACATTAAAAAAAGAGGAGAGAGAACATTTTACACAAAGGAGAATATAGTTAAAGGATGGGTTTTCTATTAAAAATGCCAAAAATGCTTCTGTATTTTTAGGTGGATGGTTAACTAACAGGTCCAGACTGGTTTAGATAAACCAAACTTTAATCCAGGTTTAAACCCAGTTTAGATTAATAAATGCTGTTTGATTAGCTTTGACACTTTAAGAACCCCAGTTCTAGTTTGACATTTGATTTATTTCTTTTTTTTACACCGTACTGTCACTTAGAAAAATAAATTAAAATTCCTGTTCTGTGGAGGAAACGAGCTCCAGAAACTTCCTTAATTTTACATCTTTGCTCTTTGTTTCTTTGGTTTTTCATAAAAATATTCAGGAATTCCTATTGATGTCACAGGATTGAATCAGGAGATTTCTTTTGGGAATAACAAATGTTTTAGTGAATTTCCTAAAGACGAATAGCTGATTTTATAATATAAATAACACCAGAAGGTTACGCTGTTTCTCCAGAATGTTTCCCAAACCCAACAACATCCGGATGGATATTTATTATAATAAATGCTAAATATGGAAGGAATAGTGAGTTGTAAAAGGTCTGGAAGTCTGATTACAGGGAAAAAATAAAGCGTTTGTAACCTCTCATTAAATAATTGTAAAATTCAGGATTCCAGCAGACACTAACAACATTTATTTTGAAAAAATATTTGTATTTATCCTCAATTCCTGCTTTATATTAGACTAAAGTTTAAAGAGAATATATATATCTTCTATCTTGAACTAATCTAAATAACCACTAATTACATCTACCATAAATGTAGATTAATTGATTGTAATTATAGATTTAGATGAGGCAAATGAAACCTAAGATGGGGAACACTTTGCTAAAGGGAATGTTAAATTTCATATGTACTGTTTAGGATTGTGTTTGATGTTTTTGGAAAGTGTGTTTTCATCTGTGTGTCATCCACTCTTTAATAAAGTGTTTGAAAACTGCCATCAACTCCTGTCGTTTTTAAGTGAATCTACTGTTGTTTTTTAACCCTTTAAAGCCAGATTCTAGAAGCATAGGAAGAATATTGGATTTTTTTAGTCTGAAGTCTTTCTTTGGCCCCTCAACAACATATGAAGAAAAAAAAAGTAATAATTTTGATCAAATGTGTGATATCTGATCGGGTTTCTTTTGGATGTGAGACTTTCTGCATCATTCAGTGGTAAAAGTTTTGCTCAAACCCCTGTTGTACACATTCAGATATACCTGATAACAGCCAGTAGAAGACCACACCAACATAGATTTCTGACTTATTGCACGCTAATTTGATCAAAATAATGTCTGTTTTTTTTCTTCATATGTTGTTGAGGGACCAAAGAAAGACTTCAGACTAAAAAAATCCAATATTCTTCCTATTTTTCTTGGATCAGGCTTTAAAGGGTTAAGCAGACACCTTGATTTCTGTTTGCATCCTCTTTATAATGATCTATTTTATGTGAAAACACTGATGTTTATTGTGTTTTTAAGCATTATTTTGTGCTGTTTTGGATGAAGAAAGTCTATTTTTAGGGAGAATTGAGCACCAGAGAGACTAAACAGGAAGAAGAGGACAAACTTTACACGTTCCTCCCTTTATGATCCAGTTAAATTGATATAGTGACTCAGAGGAGAGAATATAAGGAGCTTTCTTTACTGAAGGAGGGTTCAAATATAGAATAAGAGAAGAAGAAGATGGATCACAGTCATAACAGAACCTCTGATCCTGTGTGTGTGTGTGTGTGTGCGTGCGTGTGTGCGTGTGTGTGTGTGTGCGCGCGTGCGTGTGTGTGTGTGTGTGTGTGTG